GGGGAATTTGGGGTTCTCCGGCAGCCAAAAGCTCATGGAAAACTCTGTTTCCCCCCTCCCAGAATCTCGTGGAGGTGCCGGGGCCGCCGGCATGGCCGGCTGAGCAGAGCGGAATCCCCCCCCTCTGGAAGGTAGGGAAAAGTGGCACCGGGAACACTGGGAATGCCGGGATCGCAGCCCGGGAATGCCGGGAGCGCCGSCCGGGAATGCCGAGCCGGAAGCGGAACCGGGGCCCATCCCCAAGGAGCCACAACGGAGACGGCGGCGCCCGTGGACGCGGCGCTTCTTGCCCCCAAAATCCCCTTTTTCAACCTATTCTCATTGCCAAAAGTTCACTTTTTTTTCCTACTTCCGTCGGTGTTTCCAGGACCCCCCCCCAGTGTCCCGGGGATTGAAGTTGAGCTCCAGGGCTGGGCGTTTTGGGCCATTTTGGGCTGTTTCATCAGGGAAAAACCCCATGGAAATACAGGATCTGAGACTCTGCTGCAGAATCCCTCCTTTTGCACCAAAATTCCTTAAAATCCAGCAGCTTTTCCAATAAAASCCCCGGGAAAGTTTGAGTGGGAGCCGGAACAATGAGCGCCCAACAAAAACGTGAACTTTCCCGGGCCACTTTTTAAGGGAAATTTCCCTGTTTCTGGTCAAGAAAAAAACCTGCCRCTGGCGTTTAATGCAGGATGGGGGTAGTTTTATTGGAAAAAAAGCGTTTAAATTCCCTGTGGAATATCCCTGGGAATATTCCCATAGCYGGAGCCCTTCTAGAAGCCCTTCCGGAACAGCCCCCCGGCAAGTGCCCCTTAAAAATCCCAAATAAACAGAATTAACCCCAAAAAATCCAGGCCGCCCTTATCCAGCGGCAGGATAAGGATCCGTGTCCGCTCCTTTCCCAGATCTTTTCCCAATCCCGGTGATCTTTATTTGCCCGGGTGCTTATTTTGCTGCCGCTTATCCAGCCTCCTAGGAGGAAACAGCACCAGGAAAATAAGCAGAACTCCCTTTTGTTTTCCCTGGAATTAATAGGAATGACCCGTTTTTGAGACAGAAATGGAGGGAATGGGGGGGAAAAAATGGGAATGGAGAGCTCCGGAGGGAGYGTTTTCCAGGAAGCACCAGGCAAAGTGGCATGGGAATAAGAGCCCTTTTTCCTAGTGAATGGGGTGTCCCGGGAAAGCGGGATTCTTTCCCGGCTCGCTCTGGATCCGGAGCCATCCGTGCCAGGTCGTTCCCGCATTCCTCGCATGCCTTTTGGGCCCCCCGGCCCCGGGGAAGCGTCACGCATTCCCAAGCGGAGCTTGGATCCGCCGGCTCCGGATGGGATCGCGCTTCGTGGCGTAACGTGTTGCGCTTTGGATGAGGCCCATCCATCTCCCGGGATTTTTTCCGCCTTTCTGGAGCGCTTGAATCCCAACCGAGTGAATTCGGGGCTCGAGGCTTCCCCATCGGAGCAGCTGTGATCCTGCGGCTTCGGGATCAATCCGGATCGCYGCTCCCGAGCTTCCCGGCTCCCTGTGGGAGCTGCCGTGGAAACCTGGGCCGCGGATGCTTCGCAACCGGATCATCCCYGTGTCCCACCGCGGAGCCGTGAATCCATCCCGGGAAAAGCCGCCGGCTTGGAGCAGATCCGCGTCTCCGGCTTCGCCCTTCTCCAGGATCCCGACCTGGAAGAGCCGGGATCTCCAGGAATTTTGCCATGGATTCATCCCGGGAGCTGCGGAACGCGGAGCCCGAAAGCTGATGGGAATAGGACGGAGCAGGGAATCCAGCAGCAACAGCGGAAAAGTTTGGGGTTTCTTGGGGAAAAAAGGGATAAGATTCCAGAAGAGGATGATATTCCCGCTCCTAGGATGGTCCTTAAGTAAAAACAAATCCCATGTTTTATTCTCCGGCTGGGAATTGCCTCCCGGAAGCCTGTGTCGGCCTCCGGCTCCGTGCAGCACCCGATCCGGGGCTTGGCATGGAATTGCGGGATCCAACGCGAAAACCTCCCGGGATATTAGAGCGAGCGCATTGGGAGCACCGAATGCTCCGGATCCAGGAAGTTTGGGAGCCGGCGCGATGCCCTGGACCTGCTGTTGCCTTTCCGTGGATTCCTCCGTGCCGGAGGCTCTCCTGCTTTTCCTGTTTCCTGCTTTTCCCTCCATGGAGCATCATGGATACTGCCCAGCCCCGGCAAAATAGTGGAAATGCCATCCAGAAAGTGTGGGGGTTTGGAAGCAGCGCGGAGCTCGGAGCCTCCCGGCGAGGCTTTTCCCAATGGGAGTATCCCGCGATTCCTTGCGCAAGGCCGGAGCCGGCGGCATCTCCTGCCGGAGAAACCGGTTCCGGGGGATAAGAGGAGCCTCCGGGAATGCTGGGAATGCCAGCCTGGATTCCCCTTCCCGGTCCGCCATGGGAGTGGTGGCCAGGGATACAGAACAGGTTTTTCCGCGGCCGGAGCGCTGGGATGAGGCCGGAGCGGCTCCGTCTCCCAAGGCCGGAACTTCCGCGTTGGGTTTTGTGCTTCCCGCCTGCCCCCGGAGGGAATTTTGGCGGGATTCGGGCTGAATCCCGAGCAAGGTGGAACGTGCGTCTGCCTGTGGCTCCTTTCCTGCATCCGGAGCGCCGGGATTTTCTTCCGGAGGCCGGATTAGGTCCCGCYGTTTCTGCAGGCGGGTGAATTTCTGCGAGGATTCGGAGGTGCTTCCCAAGCAAATGGCCAGAGCCGGGAGTTTTCTTACATGGAATGTGGGAACGTGCTGGGATCGTTGGAGTTGCCCCTACTCCCTCTTTATCCCTCCCGATTCTCCGGGATCCCCTTGGCCTGCGGAATTCCAAGGCGACTCCAGTAGCTCCAGCCTMTTTCCCATCCTCGGGAGCATCCTCTGCCTCCAGGAAGGAATGGGCTTTTTGGGGGAAATCATCCCGTTTCCGAGCCTGGCGCCTGCTGGAGAAGGGAAAGGAAGGATTAGCGCAGGGAGGGAAAGATCCATCCGCAACATCCCGACGTGGGGAAGAGCTGGAATTCAACACGGGAATGGTGGAAAATGGTGCTGGATCCTCCCGAATCACCCGCTTTGACATTGGGATTCTTCCATGCGCTCCGGGAAGGCCTCGCTCCCGAATCCCTCGGGATCCGTGCGGCAAATCCGGCTGCGGCATCCCAAGGCAACGCGGCGTTCGCAGCCCCGGGCCCGGGATACGGAACGGGCGGCRCCCGAGGGCGTCTCCTCGTTATCCCGCCCGCTGGGGGCTCGGTTTTCCGGACATCCAGCCCCATCCCGAGAGGACGGGGATGCTTTTCCCGCCGCGCTCCGTGCTTCCCTGGGGGGGTTCCCCTTCCCCTTGGGGGTTTCCCTTGGG